TCTAGAGCCCATCACACCAAATAATTAGCACAAGTGATTGGATCGTATCGGTAACCCCAGCGTTTGGAAAAAACAAGATTGTCTCAGGCCCTGTTATCTTTTTTCAGAGGCCTGGGATTAAGCCAGGGTGGGGGAATGGTGCAATGTCCATCTGTCCGTCTTTGTGGTCTGTCTGGCCTCGTGCTGCGCCTGTGCGGATGCTGGAGGGACTTTGGAGGGAAGGAGGAGGGGATGTGTGCGGGAGGCTCGTGGATTAAAGGAGGAGAGGTCAGGCAGCGCCCAAAGCATCGGCATCAGTATTGGCGTCGGCACAGCGTGGCCAGCGGGTACGGCCGGTTGTGCCAAAATGTTGCCAGCACCACATGGCCCTGCCAGCCCCTCTGCCCTGCCTGCGCCTGGCACCCCAGTCCCCACTGGGGCAGTGCTGGCACTGGGACACCTCGAGGCCACCTCTGCCCACCGCAGCCCGGACCCACTGAGCCTGGCCGGCGGTGCAGGCGGTGCAGGCAGTGCAGGCAGCACAGGCAGAGCAGGCAGCAGGACATGGGTAGGGCTGGGACCGAGGGCTGCCATGTGAACGCCGGCTCAGTGGTGGAGCACAAGGTGGGGTGGGTTTTGGGGTCTGCCCCCCCCTTGCCCCGGGCAGCGCCGTCTCTCCTCCATGGGGAGCCGGCAGCTGCTCCAACCGGTTTGTGGGTCTGGGTGGTGACACCTCCTGCCCGAGGCCTGACGGAGGGCTGGGAAGAGCTGGTATGGATGCCAAGGAACAAACAAGAGCTGCTTGTGTCCTGCTGGGCACGGAGCCTGGCAGCGGGGCAGGGACAGCATGCTGCTCCCCGGCGCAGGGCCACGGGGGGCCGGAGGCTGGACCGCTGCTGGAGCAGCCGCCCCACCAGCTGGGGGGAAACTGAGGCATGAAAGCATGGAGGGACCCCATCCGAGTGATGGAGCAGGAGGTGCTGGCAGCGACAGCAGAGACATCCCGATGCCCGGACACTGGCTTTTCCCCTTCGGCATCCCAGGCTGAGCCCCAGCGGCTGCCCTTGGCATCTCCTGCCCGCCCACGGGCAGCAAGTGGGGCACACTCTTGCGCCTGGGTGGCCTGATCCCGGTCCCCTGCGTTCTCCTCCATGGGAGCAGCCGGGATATTAAGTGTCATCGCTGCGGGGAGAAATGCAAGCGGAGGAATCCCGGGAAACTGGTTTTACCCCTCCATCCGGTGCCGGCAGCAGGACGGCGGTGGCGGCCGGTGCTCCTCCCTCGGCAAAGGCATATAACGCCTGCCATGGTCCTGGCAGCCGGCACTGCGTTGCAGGAGGAGGGCAGGGGTGCAGGCAGCGAATGATGGCCTCCATGGGACTGCAGGTGCTGGGCATTGCCCTCTCTGTCATCGGCTGGTTGGCCTCCATCCTCTGCTGTGCGTTGCCCATGTGGCGGGAGACGGCCTTCGTCGGCAACAACATCGTGGTGGCCCAGATCATCTGGGAAGGGCTGTGGATGAACTGCGTGGTGCAGAGCACGGGGCAGATACAGTGCAAGGTCTACGACTCCATGCTGGCCCTGCCGCAGGACCTGCAAGCCGCCCGTGCCATGGTGGTGGTGGCCATCATCTTGGCCATCCTGGGTACCCTGCTCGCCGTCGCCGGTGGCAAGTGCACCAACTGCGTGGAGGATGACACTGCCAAAGCCAAGGTCATGATCGTCTCCGGCATCATCTTCATCGTCGCTGGCATCCTCATCCTCATCCCCATCTCTTGGTCGGCCAACACCATCATCCGGGACTTCTACAACCCGCTGGTCACCGACTCCCAGAAGCGGGACCTGGGGTCGTCCCTCTACGTGGGCTGGGCGGCCTCCGCCCTCCTGCTGCTGGGGGGGGGGATCCTCTGCTGCACCTGCCCCCCCCGGGGCGAGAAGCCCTACTCCGCCAAGTTTACGGCCGCTCGCTCGCTTCCAGCCAGCAACTATGTCTAGGAGCCTCTGCGCCCGCCTGGACCCCCCCAGCCTCAGCGGGGAGCCGGGACCTCCTGGGGCACCCCTGGCCCATGGACCCCCCCCGGCCGGGCTGGGGGCTGGCCGGGTGCCGGGGCGGGGAGGGCCAGGTGCCAGGGCAGGGAGGGCAGACAGAGCTGCCTTTGTTCACTGGGGGATTGAAGCTGGTTCTTTAATCTCGGTTGAGACGGGGAACAGGGAGATCCTGTCCTGGCTGCCCGCCCCGGCGGGGGTCCCGCTCCCCCCGGAGCACCCAGCTGCGGCATCTTCTCCACAACACCACCCGTTCCCCCCGCCCCGGAGCGTCTCCTGGCTCCCGGTATCGGGGTGTGCCGTGCGGTGATGCAGCTCCCAGGGACCCGTCCCGCGGGCGGCACAGGGCTCTCGCCCAGTAAAATCCCCCAGGACGCGTCCCTTGGGGTGGGTGGCGGTGCCGGTGGGGACAGCGAACCTGTCCCACGTGGTCATGGGGACACAGTGGCTCTGCAGACCCTGGCAGGGTCTCGAGGGGCGGCGGGGGCTCTCACCCGCCGATACCCTGAATTTTGACTTTGACCTACTTTTGGGGCTCGGAGCGGCTCTACAGACGTGTGATTTCTCGCGGCAGCTCCCCGGGGCGGGGGCATCATTATCCTGGGAGTGGGAAGGCAGCAGCCGGGCTGGGAGAACCGGTCGGAGAGGTGGGAGCGGAGCGGGGCTGTGCACCCGCGCGGAGGGGGATGGCTCCCAAACCCAGTGCTGTCCCATGGGGTGCACCCAGCCCCATGGCCCCCCTCGGCATCCCCCCCCGGCTGTGCTGCTGTCCGTCCTCACGTCGCAGCCTTCCCACATTAAACGGCAGCTGCTCAGACCCTGCTGTGCTTCGTTTTCTTTGCCCTCTCCAACGCCCGCCTCGGTGGCGGGACAGCCCGGTGCTCCTGTGCCGCGGACCCCCGTCCCCCTGAGATCCCCCAAATCTGCTCTCCAGACCCTCCCGCAATCCCAGCCGCCCCCTGACCCCTGCTCCAGCCCTGGCATCACCCACCGCTCCCCTCCCCAGGCCACCCGGGGCCCCTGCTCCCCAGGGGGGTGGCAACGGGTGCCTCTGTGGCACGGTAACTTGGCGGCACTGGATGTGGCGTCGGGGCTGCCCACGCCTGTCCCGGCACGATCTTCCCACCTGAGCAGGAAGAAGGTGGCAGGCGCCGGCGAGGGCGGGTCGGGGCGCGCTGGCCCCGGGGCCACTCGACAGCCCCGGCTGGGAGCACCCCGGGGCCGGCGTGGGCAATGCCAGGTGTTTTGCCTATCTCGCTTCCGGCATGGCAAGCCGTGCCGGGGCGCAGCCGGCGCTACACCGGCTTGGGAATGCTCTTCCCTTGTGCCTCGGGGTGCACAGGGACTACGGGTGACGCCGGCTGCCTGGCAAACACGAGGCTGTTGGTGTCTCTTCTGGGGGCTTGGGGGCTCCCCGCTCGTTGGAAAACGCTCCCGTGGCTCCATGGTGCAGGTGGCCGGGTGGAAATGCGAGCGTGATGCTCTCTGGTGAGCAGCCCTGCCAGGATCCACAGGGCCACCGCTCGTCCCCGCTGTGGGCAGTCTTGTGCCCCGTTTTGGGTGTCTCTGACGGTCCAGGTCCCACTGGCTGGGGAAGGGTGCCCAGGATGGCTTCCCATCATCCTGGCCCCCTGGCCTCCCGGGAGGCTGATCTCCCTTTCTCTGGGAGAGAGGGACTTTATTTTTGGGCCAAAGGGGCTTTCATGGACCAGGGGAGGCAAAGTCCCAGCAGCGGGTGTCCATCAGGATGCCGAGGGATGAAAGGTGCTGGGGAAGGAGTGGGGACACAATGGGGGAGGAGAGGCCAGAGAAACCGAAACCGGGACTGGAGAAACCACGGCGAAACTTCCTGCACAGCCGATACTCTGCCGCCGCTCAGGGCTCATAAAAACTCAGCTGGTCCCGGCTGCCGAGCGTGGGTGCCAGCACCCATGGGTGCACTCTGCCCCATGGTGGTACAGGGGCTCTGCTCCACATGGGGCTGAGCAGTGATTTGGGCTGAGCCTGGGGCCACGGTGGCCGTGCATGACCGTGGTGGAGCCGTCGGCGTGTCACCCCATACCAGCCACCCCTCTTACAGGGGTGATGCCTGCGGTGACCCTGGGCTCTGTAGCCCCTCGCCAGGGGTTTGCTGTCTCGATGCTGCTCCCAGTGCAAAGGAAGCGTGGGTATCACCAAAAGCGCTGAGCACCACAGCCAGGATCGGAGGCAGACCTGAGCTATGACCCATTTCCAGCACCCCAGAGGGGAAATCCCAGGTCCAAAGGGTGCTGCAGGGCGGCTGCCGAGGGCAAAGCAAAACCTGCCCTTGAACGGCGAGCAGCCGGTGCTGCGGTGAGGGCAGGGGGCTGCGGTGAGGGCAGGGGGCTGCCTCGCCTGCCCGTGCCTGCCAGTGCGATGCTCACGGCCGGGGAGGGCAGGGAGGCTGAGGCACCAGCCATGGAGCAGGGTACAGGGCGGGTGCTGTGGGGTGGCTGCCACGGCAGGACATGGGGTGAGCGTGGGGGGCGGTGGGGGGTCTGCGCTTTGGAGCGTGCTGGGATGGGCACAGCGAGCCCCTCATCCTGCTCCCCGAAAGCCTTCCCCTCCCTAACACTTGCCAAGCTGGGGCAATGGCAGAGGGCTGCCCTGTGCCGTGGGGACAATGTAGCTGCTAACGCGACGCACGGGGGCTCCCGCGCCTCGGCCTCCTCGGGACCTGGGCGATCTGTACCACGTGTGTCCCCATATTGACCTGCAGCAATGTCCCATGCTAAAAGTGTCCCCATGCTGGCCTGCATCAGTGCTCCATGCCACACATGTCCCCATGCTGGCCTGCATCAATGCTCCATGCCACACGTCCCCATGCTGGCCTGCAGCCTTTCCCACCCAGATGGGGAACCGGACGCACCCAGCATGAAGCCCATGCTCTTCAGAAAGCCCCCTGGCTCGGGGCCGTGTCCGTGATGGCTGTGCCCTGTCCCCGCAGGTGCTGTCAATGGCGACGATGACGATGCAGCTGAGTGGGCTGACGCTGGCTGTGCTGGGCTGGCTGGGCTCCATCCTCACCTGTGCGCTGCCCATGTGGAAGGTGACAGCCTTCATTGGCTCCAACATCGTGGTGGCCCAGGTCTTCTGGGAAGGGCTGTGGATGAACTGCGTGTACGAGAGCACGGGGCAGATGCAGTGCAAGGCCTACGACTCCCTGCTGGAGCTCACCTCCGATCTGCAAGCGGCTCGCGCCTTGGTGGTGGCCTCCATCTTCGTGGCCTCCTTTGCCTTCCTCACCGCCGTCTCGGGGGCGGACTGCACCCGCTGCATGGATGACCAGAGCACCAAGACCAGGATCTCCGTCGTGGCAGGTGTCATCTTCATCCTGGCCAGCATCATGCTGCTCATCCCTGTCTCCTGGTCTGCTAACAACATCGTCAGCAGCTTCTACAACCCCATGGTGCCCGAGGCCCTCAAGAGAGAGCTGGGGGCTGCCCTCTACATCGGCTGGGCCTCCAGTGCCCTCCAGCTTTTTGGTGGGGGCATCCTGTGCTGCTCGGGACCCCCATTCCAGCAGGACCGCTACCCCAAGAAGTACAGAGCGGTGACAACCTGCAGCCCGATGAGCTACCCCATGAAAGACTACGTGTGAGCCACCGCGCCCGGCTGCCAGCCCAAGGGAGAGCACCGCCGTCCCCGTCCTGCCTCCACGCGCCACCCCCCCTGCCCACGCGCTGCCTCCTCCTGCCCGTCCCCACGCCCCCTGGCACGGTCCCCCCGTGCGTCCCCTTCCCTGGCGCGCAGGGGCTGCGCTCGCGGTGGACTATAAACACCGTGGTGCCACCAAAGCTGCCTGGGCTCATTGCGAAGCGGCGCGGTGGGGGGAGGACGGTGACGTGTCCCATGGGTGTCACGCCCTGCCAGCCTGCTGCCAGCCCGGGGGCCGCTGCCCCAGCGCCTGGCGTGTCCCCAGGAGGACGCGGCGGTAGCCAGCCAGGGCACTCCCTGCACGTCCCCCAGCAGGGAAACTGAGGCAGGGAGAAGGTGCCGAGAGCCAAGGGGGCACAGGATGACACCAGGCTCCCAGAGCTTGGTCCTTTGAGCCCCCAGAGACTGGGAGGGGACCCCAGAGAAAAGCCAAATCCCCCCTCTCCAGCTCCTGGCCACCCTCCCCTGCCCACCCCAGAGGGTCCGCAGCCCCACTGCTGCGGGAACAAGGCACGGCAGGCAGGCAGCGGAGGCAGGGGGTTTATTCAACAGCCAAGTGCAGGGATGGGGCCAGCCACGACCCCCAGCTGCCCAGGGGACAACGCTGGGGACAAACAGGGGGAGAGGGGAGCAGCGCGGCTACCCACAATGGGCACAAGGCCCCCAAGGCCTGGGGGGGGCAATGCGGAGGGGTGACAAGAGCCACGGGGAGGGCGAGCGTGGGAGATGCGGGATGCCCCGGGTTGGGGACGGGGACAGACACAGCCACCGCCTCCCGCTGGGAAGAGCTCCTGAGGGGAAGGAAGTGACCTGTGTCCCGGGGCCACGGGAACAGGAGGAGCAGGAACAGGTCTGGGGGAAAAGAAAAGGAAAAAAAGGAAATATCCCAGCAAGAGATTTGGGTAAAAACCTTCCCAAGGGAGCAGCGGAGGAGGAGGGGTGGAGGCAGCAGGGCCAGGGGCTGGGGAACAGGCTGGGCAGGCGATGCCGGGCGGCTCCTGAGTGGGGAGCGGCCACTGGCTCCTGAAGTCCCTTCCAGCCTCATTTCCCACCCAGACCATTAACTACAAAGCTGCAGGGAAATGAGAGACTTAAGCAGCTGTTGGGGGATGAAAGGCTGATGTGGCGCTTGGAAAGCTGCTCCTCCGGCTGGGTGTCCTGTCGCCATAGCTGCTCCTGGTTCGGATGCGGAGGTCTCCTGCACCTCAGGGTGCGCTGGGTTAACTCCCGGGGAGGATGAGGATGGGGGGGCCGCAGGATGTGGCAATGGGGACCCACCTCCAACGGTCCCCAGGTAAAGACCATGGGAGTCTGGGGTGGGGAAACAAAGGAGGAGCCAGATTTTGAGCACGAGGGCTGAGAGGTGGGCATGGCGGGGAGAAGACATCCCGGACAGGAGATGGCTCTGAACAGCCAGGTGGGTCTGCCAGATGTCACGGCGAGGGCTGAGGTGTCGGGGACAGTACCTGAATGTCAGAGGTAATGGCAGTGCCCAGGAGACCCCGGTGACACCAGGAGACCCTCCCCACGCTGAGGAGCAGGCAAGGTCGCCAGGGCCCAGACCACAGGGGGGAAGGAGCCGGGGAAGGGAATGGGGACGCTCCCCAAAAACATCACCCCCCAGCAGCCGCCCTGCTCCAGGAGGGGGTCGTTGGGTTGGGTTTTACAAGGGGCCAAGTGCTCACTGTCCCCCTCCCCAGAGCCCCGTTGGCTCTCAGCCCTCCTCGAGGGGGGGCACGGGGCATTTCCGATAGATGTAGACCACCCCGGAGATGTAGCCGGTGCCCTGGGTGCTCTCCTCCTCGGAGGTGGCCCTCTCCCAGTGCTCCACCTCCTGGGCCAGCACCTTCTGCCAGGCTCCCTGCCTCTCCAGCCTCTCCAGCGTTGCCTCCAGCTCCGCCTTGTACCGCAGGTTCGAGGGGTTGCTCCTCGTCGTCAGGCAGAGGAAGCCTCCTGCCGGGAAAGGGGATGGGTGACGGCGATGCCAGGTGTCCCCTGATGGGGACGGCATCCCCTCGGGAAGGTGAGGGGTAAGGGGAGGCAGTGAGACCCTGCTGGGCGTCATCCAGCAGGCCAGCGGGCAGGGGACCAGCAGGTCAGTGGGCAGGGGACAGGCAGGCCAGGAGGCCAGCGGGCAGGGGACAGGCAGGACGTAACACCTGAGCATAGGCACTGGGAGTGCCACCTCCTGCCATGTCCCCCTGCCTGAACCCTGCCTGCAGGCAGGGCCAGGGACCTGGGTGCCACCGCACGTCCCTGCCTGTACCTGGCAGCAGGGACAAGGCCACGTCCTGGCCGTGCCACAGGGCCAGCACCCAGCCGGGGACCCACGTCTGCCAGGACCCGGTGTCCCCGTCCTGCCACCCCGGGGGTCCCGCCGGCGAGGGGACAGCGGGGGACACCCCCTCACCCGGTTTGGTGACGCGGAGCAGCTCCGGCACGGCCGCGCTCGGCACCTGCCCCTCGCCCAGGGCCCCCACCACCGTCACGGCGTCGTAGTGCTCTGCGGGGACACGCGTGGCATCACCGGGGGGGACCCCCCGGGGTAGCGACCCCCCGGCCCCGGCCCGTTACCTG